TTTTAGGACATTTTATTAAGGCAAATGTATAACATATTTCAATCGCATTTGGCTTTCGGCTATCGAATGCACTTAGTTTCCTCAAAAACATTGATTCCCAAAGTGATCTATATCGACCCCTAGGGGTCTATGACAACCTGCAAGGGGTCTACGTCAGCGAAAAAAAATTTGGGGATCCATGAAAAGAGTATGGGGGTCCACGATAGTGAATCTCAACACATATACTGATAGTAACTATTTACTTACATGATACTATCTTATAATATCAAAACATATACATTATTTATAAAAGTACCTATGAAGTAAAAAATTTATTATATATGTTTATAGAATTGTGTAAGTTGTAGGATGTTGGTATTCGCTTTGTGGTCGCAACACATTTTGAACTTGTAAAAACCTGAGAGTCGCAGTCTCAGAGCTTCCCTACCTTGCACTGATTTGTTCAATTCGTCGCTCTATAAATACGAATGTGGGATAAATACGTTTATTCGTGCTAAGAAAATATTTTAAAAAATATAAACAGATAGTATATCACACAAATTATAGTGAGTCAGTGTTATTTTGTTTGAGAGTGCTGGAGAAAAGGAAGTACATTATTTTTTATTAAATTTTAGTTTTGTACTCGTAGTTGGCAAAGATAGATAAATTACGCCAATCATGACTTTAGTTATTAGTAGTTAAATATTCCATCATGCAAAAATACACGAGTACTCCTCAATAGTTTCTTTTTCAAAGTTTTAGCAATCGGTAATATAATTACAGTGCAATCTCCGTAATTCGAGCTAATTGTTGCAAGATGTTCGAATTATGGAATGTTTTCGGAAAAATCAAAAAATATTTTTAATATACAGCTGCTGGATTTTCTGTCTTATTTAAATCATTTAATTTTGCTCACAGATGACTGATGCCATGTCCGAATCTAAAAAGAAATCTAGACAGTACAGTGTTGATTATTTGAAATTTGGCTTCATTCCATTATTGCCGGACAAACAATCGCCTATGTGCCTTTTATGCAACAAAGTTTTGGGCAATGACGCTATGAAACCATCTAAACTGCAAGATCATCTGAGAAGATGCCACCCTGATAAAACAGAGAAAGATTTGAAATAGTTTCACACACTCAAAGATAAATTTCAGAAGAGACCTACACTGGACAGAATGTTCGCATCGACGTCACTAAGAAATGATGATGGTTTGCGGGCGTCTTACAATATCTCGTTACTTATAGCAAAATCCGGAAGACCGCATACTATCGGAGAGAAGTTAATTTTGCCCGCCGTTGAAGAGGTTTTAAAAACAGTTTTACACAAACCTGCATCTGATATCATTAAAAGAATTCCCTTAAGCAACAATACTGTTGAAAGACGTATTGATGAAATGAGTTCTGATATTGAAAGCTTCTTATGTAATTATTTGTAAACGACCCATTTCTCTATACAACTGGACGAGTCAACTTTACCTGATAATGCAGCATTATTATTGGCATATGTTCGTTTTATTATGAATCAAGAAATCTTCGCAAGAACTTTGATAACCGACACTAAAGGTGAATCAATATTTCATGTTTTGAAGGATTACCTCATTGAAAAAGCAATTCCTTTATCAAATATAATATTAGTAGCTACAGATGGAGCACCTGCCATAGTTGGACGTTATCGTGGATTTATAAGCTATTTAAAACAAAATGTGTCAGGGGTGTTAGCAATACATTGCGTCATCCATCGACAACATTTAGTTGCTAAAAATTTGAGTGTTAGATTGCATGAATCACTTCATTTAGTCATTGATGCAGTAAACCGAATCCGAAGCAACGCGTTGAATACGCGGTTATTTGCGCAGTTGTGTGAAGAAAATGACGGACACTTTCATCAATTACTCCTTCACACTGAAGTACGCTGGCTGTCGAATGGCTTATGTTTGACAAGATTTTTTGCACTTTTTGAGACTATTTTAGAATTTCTGGATACTAAAGATAAAATTTTAAAAGGAAATTTAATGAAGAGGAAAACAGACATCGCCTATTTAACAGATTTGTTTACAAAATTTAATATGGTTAATTTGCAATTACAAGGCGACAGTTTAAATTTGATTAAAACAAAGTCCATCTTATCAGCGTTTCTTGCCAGAGTTAAACTAATGAAGCAAAATATTGGACGGGGCGAATTTTCTTAGTTCCCCAATTTGTCACAGACAAGATGCCAGGAAGACGACGTTTCAACATACGTTCAACATTTAAATGCCCTCTATTCAGATTTGAATCTAGGTTTGAGGAAATGGTAATACCACCGTGGATAATTAATCCATATGGTGACATAGAAGAAACGAATGTCATAATACAAGAGAAACTGACTGAACTAAGTACAAACGAAGAACTTAAGGTTCAGTTTAAAAACAGATATCAGCAATTCTGGCAGCAAAACCTCATACCCGTTACTTATCCCGTACTATAGAATATAGCCAGGAAATTTTTAATTTCCTTTCCATCGTCATACCCAGTGGAAAGGGGGTTCAGCGCTGTTACCAATCTCCTAACGAAAAAAAAAACAGACTGGACATCATTAGCCAAGGAGATTTAAGATTAACCCTTACAAAATTGACGCTAAATGTTGATTTATTGATTTATTATTAAAGCATCAGGTTCATCCTTCTCACTAAAAATATTGACTTATTGCTTATGTTATTTTATTTATAGTTTATTTTATCTTTATTGGTGTCTGACCAATAAATGCCCGCATTGGGAATAAGTGCCCGCATTGATTTTTTAAAGAACCCCCCTTTATAGAAAATATTTTTTTTTAAATAATTCTGAAAATTCAAGGATAGGTACACACTAAAATTCGTCAATTTTTTGTCTATTTTTAGATAACTTAAACGTATAAGAAGCGGAATTTAATCAAACTAACAGTGAATTTATTGTAGAACATATGTTTATGTTATAATTAATAAACGAACTCGCTTATTGTACTATTTTAAGAAAAAAACTTTTTTTTTAATTTTTCACTTTTTTTTATTTTATCCCTCTTAACATATTTTGTTTTCAACGCGGGCACTTATTCCCAATGCGGGCACTTATTGGTCAGACACCTGTTTATTTAATGTCATGTATATTTTACATAACAGATACAAAATTTTATTTTGAGTAGTTTTAATTTACATTCAATTAATAAATGTATAAATTAACATGTGTTTTTACATTAAGTTTTTAACACTAAACTTCACTACAGTTAGAAATTTACAGGAAATCAATATCAGGTAAGTAGGGGGTCTACCCAACACGGAAAAACATGGCAAGTGGTCTACGACACAAAAAAGTTTGGGGAACTCTGCTCTAAAACTTTCCTCATTTAACCTTTGATGTAGGTATAACAATACTTAAAGTGCGAATTTTAGCTACAATAAATTCACCACTTCAAGTGTCTTTACATAATTTCTGAATACATGTACTTTCTTATATTATTTGGTAGGTTGTTATAAGTTTTTACTGCATCAGTGACAGGATTATTTAATCCTATATTGGTTCTAGTAGCAATTTGGTACAAATTATTATGTGATATTGTCTTATGGCCATGCACCTCATGTGTGATCAAAATGTTTGTATTACACTTTTGTTGGTTATTTAAAATTTTGAAGGTCATTTTACATTGTGCTAATTCCAACAGCTTATCTAGTTTACAAGCATTCAATTCTGATTACATATTATCCATCTTGGCAAGTCGATCATAGTTGAATAAAATTCTTAATACTCGGTTTTGCAAAACTTGTGCTTTATGAAATTCAGTTTTATCACACATTCCCCAAATAGGTAACAAATATCTAAAGTGTGCTAAGAAAAATGCTTTATAAATATTTATTTTACTTTTTGTTGTTAAGTGGTCTCTGCTTCGGTACAAAACAGCTATCATCGATGTTGTTTTATCAAAAGAATGGTTAATGTGACTAGACCAATTCAAGTTCTCATCGATCATTAAACCCAGGTATTTGATGCTCGATACTTTTTCTATTATAACATTATCTATTCTTATTCAAAAGTTTTGGACTATTTTATTTTTCTGTTTAAAATTTAGATATTTTGTTTTACAAATGTTGACCTTTAGTTTATTTGAATACAGCCATTTACAGTAAAGAGTAAGATCTAAATTAACTTCGTCACGCACTGCCTGCTCATGATTTCATTAATAGAGAAGAATTTGGTCGTCAGCAAATGTAAAATACTTTGCATTAAGATTGGCACTCTTAAAATTTAGAACATATCGAGAATATAATAGTGGACACAAGACAGACCTCTAGGGACACCATAGTCAGTAGATAACCACTCACTATTTGTTTCACCAATTTCCACATATTGTTTCCTGTTAAGTAAATAAGTTTAATAATCATACACAGTACCCCTAAATCCCATATTTTGTAACTTACTCAATGATATATTGATATCTAGCACATCAAATGCCTTTCTTAAGTTTATAAACAATGTTATAACCACTAGTTTTTCATCCAGAGCCCTTGAGTTGTAATTTACAAATTCAACTGCAACTGCAAGCGTAATAATATATTTATAAACCCATACTGGGAACTGTCTGCTAATGTACTTTCCTCCATAAACTACATCATTCTTTTATTGACAATTTTTTCAACAATTTTAGATAAAATACTGATCATATACAGGGTGTTTCAGTTTATTGTTGCATAACTTTGAGATTAGATATAACTTTTAAAATTAATGCATAAAGTCTATATAAACATGGGTCGAAAAATGCGTGGCTTCCGAAATACAAGGGTTTTTTGGTACGACAAAACGAACCATAGTTTTACTGTAGCCGCTAGAGGGCGCTCTCTACTGTACCTGAAGTGTATTAAAATGACCAAAAATTTTTTCTCAGTGCAATTTTTTGCTTTTTGAATAAAAAAACTGATTCTTCGCACTTTTCAACATAAAAAAGCTGTCCTGTGAGTTTTCGATATAGTTAGCCGTTTTTGAGATATTTCGATTTTTATGGTTCGATGCATTTTTAATTATTTATGATAAAATAACGTTAAAAAGTCAGTATCTCGATTATTTTTAGAAGTAGGAGGTGCCTGCATATATTTTTGAAATTGAAAGCAGAATAACGTTAAACGTCAATTAGTTGACAGTTAGTTTTGTTGTCTGTTGAAACCTGAAACGTCCTTTTGCAATTGTGAACGCACGAAATTTAGTTTCTTTTACCTGTTTTTTTTTGTAAGTTTTGTAAAAATGCCATTTTTATTCTCCAATGAAGAGTCAGCGGATATTCATTTTGTGTATGGCTTTGTAAATGGAAACGCAGCAGAAGCAGCCAGAGAATACGCACGAAGATTTCCAAACAGACGACATCCAACTCGCTCAGTATTTGTAAGAGTGCATCGCCAAATAATTGAAAATGGTTTTGGAAATCTCCAAAGGGATCAAAACATAAATGTTCGTCAGCGCAGATTTACCCGTATGATTCTGCGTGAGTTTGATAGAGATCCGACCACAAGTGTTAGGAGAGTTTCTGGTGCCTTGGGAATTTCAGCAAGCCATGTTCACCGTGTTCTTAGAAATGACCATAGTCGTTCTTACCATTTGCAACCTGTGCAAGGTCTACGGCCAGGGGACGGAGAACGAAGAATCACATTTTGTCAGTGGATTCTTGATAGAACTGACAATAATAGGGAGTTTTTAAGTAACGTTTTATGGACCGAAAAGTCATGCTTCACTAGACGTGGAGTGGTAAATTTTCTTGATCAACATATTTGGTCGCATGAAAATCCGCATGCAGTTCGGGAAAGAAATTTTCAGCATGAATTTAGTGTGAACGTGTGGATTGGTATCTACCGAAATCGACTATTTGGACCCTACCTTTTGCCTGCAAGGTTAAATGCTGCAACCTTCTTGGAATTTTTAAAGGCTGAACATGCAAATATGTGGGATGATGTTATGTTAGATTTAAGAAGATTGGCCTGGTTCCAGCTTGATGGTTGTCCAGCTCATTACTCGAGAATAGTTAGAAACTGGCTGGACGAAAATTATCCAGAAAGATGGATCGGCCGTGGAGGACCAGTCGCCTGGCCTCCACGATCCCCTGACCTAAATCCATTAGATTTCTTTGTGTGGGGATTTCTAAAAGAAAAAGTGTACCAGACTCCCGTATCCACAAGAGATATGCTGATAGATAGAATCAGGAATGCATGTGATGAAATAAGCCCTTATTTAAATAATGCTATACCACGTTCAATAATTCGTAGATGTGAATTCTGTATTGAACAATTGGGTTTACATTTCGAGCAACTACTTTAGATTTTGTATGTTTCCTAACTATCCAATAGCATTTTAGTTGTAAATAATTAATTTAATTTGTTAAAAATAATATTGGAAAATTAAACAAATTAATATTCTGTTTTTTTGTGTTTATTTGGAGTTAGGAATTATTGCTGTATTTAAAAACACAATCTAAACGATCATCTTAATTACTTGTAATGCCCAAATCTAAAATGTGAAAAAAATATAATTTTCCCATGAGTAATTAAAAATGCATCGAACCTTAAAAATCGAAATATCTCAAAAACTGCTAACTATAAGGAAAACCCACAAGATAGCTTTTTTATGTTGAAAAGTGCGAAGAATCAGTTTTTTTATTTAAAAAGCAAAAATTTGCACTAAGAAAAATTTTTGGTCATTTTAATACACTACAGGTACAGTAGAGAGTGCCCTCTAGCGGCTACAGTAAAACTATGCCCGTGGTTCGTTTTGTCGTACCAAAAAACCCTTGTATACCAATTTCCACTGTTATACATCAAATATTGTTCGAAATATTTAAAAAAAAAGTATTTTAGAAAGTAAATTTAAACACCCTGTATTTCGGAAGCCACGCATTTTTCGACCCATGTTTATATAGACTTTATGCATTAGTTTTAAAAGTTCTATCGAATCTTAAAGTTATTCAACAATAAACTGAAGCACCCTATATATTGGCCTATAGTTATTCATAGAGTGTTTATCACCTGATTCATAAAGTGGAATAATTTTACTCATTTTGAGTTCATCTGGAAATTTTCCAGTTACAATTATGTTGCTAATTAATTTTACTAATATTTCTACAATACAAGGTCTGATGTTGAGCATATCTCTGAGTGAAATGACATCATGGCCAGGTGCTGAACTTATTTTTAATTCCAGTATGGTTTCACTCACCTTTTGTTGATCAGTGAGGGCTATCAAAACTGTATTATGCATATACACTTCTTTTTTATTAATATTTGAACCTGGTATTCTAATTTCATTTTCTAATTCTTTTGCAATAGAACTACCAACATTAGAGAAATGTCTGTTTAAATCATTTACTACATCTATCTTATCATTCACGAGACTGTTGTCAATCTTCAGACAATCAATGGTAGCTCCCTCTGTTTTCTGTTTAAAAAAAACTATTGATAAACGTCCATTGCTTTTTGATGTTGCTACCGGCTAAATTAAACTTGGTCCGAAAATATCCATTCTTCTGTCAAAAGCATCAAGTGACTTTCCGATCTACATTTATTTCTTCTCCCGTAAATTTCTGAGATATGTTCCCGATTACCTCATAACTTGAATCTAAAATGATGTAACTGCAAAATCTATTATAAGCTTGAAAAAGTGCTCGGTCGCGCTTAACTGCTGCGAGGGAAAAAAAGTAGCAGCCTAGATAAGATTTTGTCGATAATCCCTTTAATCGCGCCTTAATTGAAGTGGTGCTTTTCTTTGCGAGCACTCGTCCTTTGTGAGCAGAAACTTAAAATAGAGCGGGATAGATGGAAACCTGTACTTCGTTTCGTCTTATAATTTCTAAAATTGATTTTGCCCGGAGATGCCTCATTTAGTTCGCGAGTGGAATTATAAACAGCATCTGGCACTTTTGTGTATCATAGAGTAATTTAATCTTTAATTTCAGATAAATCTCAACAGCGTTGTGCACTGGAACAGGACCTGAATGTTGATAAATATGGGTACCAAAAACAGGTATATCTTATGCCTTATTGGATAGCGATCACACTTAGACAAGTCTCACGTATCCTGAGTCAAGTGTTCTGAGTTACCAGAATCATTTTCTGCACCTTCATCGCGTCATTTCTGCTCAATTGTGTGGGATGATTATTGCTTGCTAAGGCGCCACCTAATCTTTTATACTCATGGGAAAGCTTTTGTTGTCAATAAAAATGCAGGGTGTTCCTTAGTGATATGCGAACATTCGATGGTGTGTCGAAAGATCTTATGTTTTAAATTGAACAGCAAATTCAAAAATAATTTTTATTTGGCCCAAAACCATTGGCGTACCATTTTACCAGTCAATACCCGTACGCACGCCAATGTTAAAGCTGAAAATTATTTTTGCATTGAAAAATATGCAACCTTATTAACTCCCACTGCGTACTAAATATCAGCGAAATATCTGAAGCAGTTCTGAAAATATACTAAGTGACGTATAAATCCGACCACCCAGTTTAAATGGTTTTATTTTAATAAAATTTTGTATAAGTACTTAATGAAGCATAATAAGTAAATGATAAAAATTTCAAAATGATTGCACTGCTTTAAAGCCCTTTGACCTTTAATAATGTGTGGATACACCCTGATGTGCTACGCATTCTCCAACGCGCCTAGGCATGCTTCTGATCAGGTGGTCAATGTCCTCCTGTGGTATCTCATTCCAGGCAACCACCAACTCCTCTCGAAGTACTTCTAGAGTCTGAGGAGGACGTTGCAAATTGAGCAATCTCCTACCCATCATATCCCACACGTGCTCAATTGGGGATAAGTCGGGAGATCTTGGTGGCCATGGTAACAATGTGACATCCTTATGTTGAAAGAAGTCTATTCTGACTCTTGCAACATGTGGTCGGGCATTATCTTGTTGGAAAGTTGGATCTGCCAGGGTGTCAAGATAGGTTAAAAGATGGGGTTCTAGAACTTCGGGGATATAACGCTGCGCGTTCATGTTACCTCTGATTAAGATTAAAGGTGACCTGGAACCAGAAGCTATAGCACCCCAAACCATAACTCCAACAGTGTGATGAACTTGTCTTTCAACAAAAAACTGTGGATTCCTCCTTTCACCACGTCGCCTTCTAACCCTGGCACGACCATCGTGCATGCCTAAACAAAATCGAGACTCGTCACTAAAGACAATGCTGTTCCATTCCTGATCAAAGAGTGACCGTTGTCTGCACCACTCGAGGCGATTTCGTCGGTGTTCTCGAGTTAAAGGGAGGACCCAGTGTGGCCGGTATGAAAACAAGCCA